TCCCTTGGGGCTTCCTACGGCTTTCTTAAAGCTTTCTTAAGGAGACATTAGATTCTTCCAGATAGCTGCTTTGGTTCAAATCCTCTGGCCTTTTGCATGGGTCTGTAATGTGCATAACATACAGAAATGTCATGTTTCAGTTTTACAGGATGGGCACGGAGCTGGCATGAAGGGTTTTAGTTCCCAAACTCCATACACTGTGAATCTGAGCCCTTCCAGGGCTCTCAGAGCAGGGGTTCAGAACACCTCTGTGCAGAGGGGCTATGGGAGCTAAGGGGAAGAGTCCAGCATCCTGAGTAACAATAGCTTGGGGCTAAGGATGTTAGGTACAATTTTCAAAAGAGCCTAAGTCCTATTTTCAAAAGTGACTTAGTCACATAAGAACCTAAGTCCTATTGACTTTCAATGAGTCTTCAAGCTTTTCTATACAAACACTTAGTGTGCAGCAAGTAGGGATGTAAATCTACCCCACACTAGCTTGCTGCACACTAACTGCATGGACATTGCTGCATGCACTAAAAGTTCCTTGATGCTTTTTGATCTACCCCACTTTGAAGTGGGAGGAGATTGAAGCCCACTATGGGATTTTTAATGCACAGTGGCAGGGTCCACATGGATGCTTACTGCGTGGCAGCTAGAGCAGGATAGATTTATACCCCAGCTTGCCACAAGCTAAGTGTTTGTATGGACAAGTCCTCGTGCTCCTAAGTAGTGCTGTGCAGCAAACACTTCTCTTGTCCCCCAAGAATTGTTGAGATTTTATAAAAAAAAAAAAAAATTCTCATCCCAAATGAGTACAAAAAGTCAAAATCTTAAACTTTTTTGCAAATCAATAATTCCCAAAACATTTAAGTTCTTGTCAATTGAAATGTTTAATTTCAATAATTTCCAAGCTTTTTGTTTCAATTTCAATTTTTTAATTTTATTTTACCTTTTTAGTATAGTCTAGACAATTTCAAAACAGTCATTTCAGAGAGAAAAAACAAAACTTTTCATTTTGAAAATGCAGTAATGAGTTCTTTCAACAGTTTCAAAATCTTTATTTCACTTTTTTTTTCTCAATTTGAGGGAGTCCTCAAAACCAGTTCTTTCCTGGAAGTGGTTTTGGTTTCAATGAACCAGCATTTTCTGATGGGAAAAACACTGGAAAATTCCCAGCCAGGTCTACTCCTATGTCACTTAGATACTTTGGAAAATGTTATCCACCCCTCATTCCTCCACCCTGCTTGCATTTACCTGTGTGCACTGCTGATTTTCTTGGCGTCAGTGTGAAGAATTGGCCCATAGTGCTAAGTTAGTCATGTTGTCCATGAAATATATGTAATCCATGTGCGTGGGGGTGGAAAACAGTTGTATTTTCTAAAATGATGGCAGTCACGTAATGGACTTTGAATTTAAATGAGCAACAAACAAACGTATTCCTGCAGACGTGTTTCTGTATAGTGTGCACTTTTTATGTTTTCCATATTCATATTCATGCACTAATTAGTCTGTAAAAGCCAAACAAGCAGAAATACTAACAAGTATTGCTCTCATTGGGCCTGATTCTCCAAATGGATCCAAATGCACAGCATCCCACTTGAAATCTGTGCATATGGTTCCCTTTGGAGAATTGGAGTCCTATTCTTTCGTTATTTGTCAGAGATCAAATGTTAGTTACACAGGGTGGGATTTCGAAAAGTGTGTAAATGAATTAGAAGCAAAAGTCTTATTGCCTTTTGGCCGACAATGGGTATGTCCACATCGCAAAGAGAAAACTGTGGTGCCAAGTCTCAGTCTCAAACTGACTTGCGTTGGTGAGGCTCGGACTACAGGGCTAAGTGTAGATGTTCTCACTCAGGCTGGAGCCTCGGCTCTGAAGCCCAGCAAGGGGTAAGGTCTCAGAGCCTGGGCTCCAGCCTGAGTGGGAATTTTTACACTGCTACTTTTAGCCCTGCAGCCCAAGCCAGAGTGAATTGACCTCGGCTCTGAGACTTGGTGCCCAAGTTTTTCCTGGCAGGATTGACATACCCTTGGGCGCTTTTGAAAATCCCTATTAACTGTAGTTAGTAACACAAATCTTCTTTTTTAATCTTTCTTTTTATTCACTTGCTGTACTTTTAAAGTTAAACCATATTTATATTTCTCAAACAAAGTATGTATTGAAAGGTTTCAGAGTAACAGCCGTGTTAGTCTGTATTCGCAAAAAGAAAAGGAGTACTTGTGGCACCTTAGAGACTAACCAATTTATTTGAGCATAAGCTTTTGTGAGCTCATGAAAGCTTATGCTCAAATAAATTGGTTAGTCTCTAAGGTGCCACAAGTACTCCTTTTCTTTTTGCGAACACAGACTAACACGGCTGTTACTCTGAAACCTGTCTTAAGGGTGTATCCTGCTGCCCACCACCATAGTAGCTAAGTGCCTTCTGTCACAATTTCAGGCCAACTGCACCTGTATTCCCTCTCATGGTCCCTCAAGGGCACCCACAGTAGTTTCTGGCTTCCAGCTGTCACCTGTCTTGGGCAGAAGCCTGCATCTTGCTCCCTTCAGAGCAGGATTTTAAGGCCACACAGCTCCCTGAATTTACACCGTGATGGCCCCAGCAAACCTGGCAACCTAAATGCTCATCTGCATTTTGCTTTCTCCCCAGAGGCTGTGACCACTGTATTGCCCACAGTTATAAGTTAACACAAGCACAGTTTTTCTTAGGTGAAAGCATATTTAAAACCTACATACATGCTAATAAACTTACGAGAGGTCATCCTAACTTCAGTCTCAGGCTCTGAGAGGTATCTGGTTTTGAAAACCTACAACTGGGTTTTGCTCCTGGCTACAAGTTCATGACTGCCTCAAAGTCAGAACCAGAACCCAGGCTGGGCAATTTGGCTGTCTCCTTATACTGCCTGAGCCTTTTATCTCCAGCGTAAATCCACAGACAATGACCCAGTCCTCCTCATGTAGCTGGAAAATGCTGAGTTTTTGCATAACTAGATGTGAGGACTTTGCATTCATCTGTCCCTAGGTATACCCTAGGAAATCCACTTCCCATATATTTTCCCCAAAGTCCATTCTTGTCTGGAACATTTTCAATATAGTCCTTTGAACTCCCAGCGCTCACTTCACATCTCTCCCCTAGAGAGGTTACATGCGATCCTGGCCCACAATATTACATAAACTTTACATTTTATACAACAGAGCCCAAAGGTACTTAATCTTAATTCAACAAAGTCTCCCAAGGATATGCAGGAAATTGCCATATCTATCACACCTTCCAAGTACAATCAATCGCAATAGCCAAGTCCCTGATGGAGTCTCTGGCACTTCTCCCTTTTGAGGTCAAAACTCTGCTTGGGATACAATGGTGTTGGGTTTTTTTAAGTATTTGTATTAATTTCATTTTTTTTTTGTTAGGGGGTAAGACTAGGAAAGAGGAGTCACTGTTGTGAGTGTCTTTTTTTTTTTTTAATGGTGGAAAGGTTTTTTTGAAAAGGGAAGATTTTGCAACATTTCCTAACGTTGGTCACACTCAGGATTTGCCTGATCTCCAGAAGTTTTATTTTTACATTTTTTTTTTGTTAATTCCTAAAACCACTCATTTTAGGCAGTTTTTCTTCTAGGGACTTTCTTAACCTTTTGAATTTACTTAAAAATTGCACACTTGAGAGAGGGAATGTGTCTCTCTTTTTAAAATGTTTTGTGTCTGCACCAGTATTTTCTCTTTGTGTTCAGTTACTTCTCTTTTCTCTGTCCCTTCTTGCTTTTCCTCTGGAAAATATATATTTTATGAATCACCAAGGTATTTTTATCTATATTCTATCACCATTCCTTTTATTGACCTTAATGGCGTCTGCTATCGCTATGAATACAATACATAACCCGTGAATATCCATCATGACTGTATATAGTGCAAATTCCATAATCAGGAATACTGAACTTGCATAAAGTACACATAAAAGGATTAAAACAAATTCAGACAGATCTCATCCAGAAGAACCTGTATTTTTATGCAAAATTTAATGAGTCACTTTCTCTGTGGTTGCAAAGCAAAATATGACTTCAGTTCTGTTGCATTGTAAGGCAGGGTCGAATTTGGCCCTCAATATTTAAAGTTACATTTGATTTAAATAAAACTCAACCAAATTATTATTTTATTAGTAAGGAGGCTTCTCAATATAAGGCTGGGAGTAAAAATGGGTCGTTTTATTTGTATTACAGTAGCACCTATGGGCCACATAACTTCTACTTCAGCCTAGCATAATTTGACACACACATTTCACACTTCTGGGCTGACACTTTGTGTTCTGTGGTTTCCAGAGGATATGCTGCTCCTTTAAATGTAGTGGGTTTAAGGTATCACTGTGCTATGATTTAGCTCTTAATATTTTAGTTCAGGTGATGTTTGTGCCTATTGTGTGTGGTGTTCTGGCTTCTTGTGATTTTTAGTGCTTCGTCATGACACTCAGCATCGACCAGCGATGGAATAACTGATAAGCTTATACACATTGTAAGGAGAGTGGTCACTTCAGATAAGCTATTACCAGCAGGAGAGTGGGGTGGGAGGAGGTATTTTTTCATGCTTTATGTGTATAAAAAGATCTTCTACACTTTCCACAGTATGCATCCGATGAAGTGAGCTGTAGCTCACGAAAGCTGATGCTCAAATAAATTGGTTAGTCTCTAAGGTGCCACAAGTACTCCTTTTCTTTTTGCGAATACAGACTAACACGGCTGTTACTCTGAAACCTGACAAGCTTTTAACAGTGATATGACATAGAATGGGAGCATATGACACTGTGAAGTTATTCAGATCTGGCTGACACTGACATATAGAAAATTAGAGCCCTTAAGGTGCTAACTCAGTTTCAATGTTTCATTTCTTATGAGTTTTGTCTGATGTAGGACATCCACCTAGGTTGTTAATTTGACTATAAGAAAAAGCACTTACTTTTACTTGTATGGTATATATCTAGAAAGTAGTTTTAATTCTTCTATTTCTGGTTTTGTTTTTGTTTTCCAAAAGAATCGGATTTGCAGATCTGCCAGCACAGAGCACCAACCTGTTGCACTAAAAAGATGGAAGAAAACTACCAGACAGCTGTTCGGAGAGAGAGGACTCAAAACATCCAGGCCTTGAACTTTGAACTGAAATATATGATAGTTGGTCATATCACAGCTTTTCAAGGTAGGAAACACATGGAACTTCATGACCCCCACGAAATAAGCATGCTAATGTTGTAGAAGTTATATAATTTGTACTATATAATTGCAGGCAAGGTTCTCTCACTTGTGTTTTTATCATTTCTGCTAGACTTTGAGTCATGGTTTGTGCCTCAGCTTTCTGTGGCCTTGATTCAGGAAGACATCCCTCTTCAGGAGAGCACTTGGGCATGTGTTACTTTATGCGCATGTTTAAATTCTCTACTAACTAGACATGGATTTAAGCAAATGCCTAAATGTTTAACTGAACTTGGGCCTACCTTCTAGGCTTGAAAAAGACTCAGACTTGGATTTTCAAAGGCACAAATGGTAGATGGACACTAAGACCTGAAAAAGAGCTCTCTAGCTCAAAGGCTTGTGTCTGTCAAGACATAGGTCCAGTAAAAGATATTGCCTCACCCACTTTGTCACTCTAATATCCTGGGACCTACACGGCTACAACAACCCTGCAAACATTTGTATCTACATTCTCCCATTCAATGTCAAGGAACAGAAAGTAGAATAAAATGTTTTTCTTCCTGATCCCTGATATAGTTCACAGAGAGAACTATCATCTGACTAGTGCCTTAAAACGTTTCACAAACTATTGAGTCACTTGAAGCCTGACTCCTTTTTGAAGAGTTGTGGCACCCAGTTAAATGTGAGTGCATGAAGGAATTGACATTTGAAAGATTATGTTCTGAGAGGAGTGACTGTTCTCTTAATAACAAGTAGAATTGTCTTTCATCTGGAGATTGCTATATTCGGGCTGGTGTCTTCTCGTCACAGTATTACTCAGGAAAATCAAATGCTTGTATAGGACTTTATATTGCAAAGTGCTGAACGCTCTGTCGGCAGTCCAGAAAGAACTTACGCACACACTTAACTTTAAACGTGTGAGTGGTCCTATTGATTTCTGTGGGACTACTTGTGCTTACAAAGCACTTCAATACAGACTTCTTTTTTGTATCTGGGCCCGAGTGCTCAGCACCTTGCAGCATTAAGCCTTAAAATATGCTAACCTGGACCAGGATTCATTTGATTAATAGAATTCGCATCATCCTGTATACTCAGTGTTATCAGCAAATTTGTAGATCTCTTGTCTAGATGCTGCCTTTGGGGGGAAAAAAGATGACTTAAAATAAATAGAAATTAGTAGATGGTTTAAAGCAATGTGTTTCAACCTGTGGTCCATGAACTCTGGGGTCAACAGACTATCTAAGATTTCCTAAGGGATCCACACTCCATGCAAAATTTTTTAGGAGTCCTTAAATGAAAAAAGGTTGAAAACTACTGGCTTAAAGTATGACCATAACAAATGCTGAAAGCTTAAGAAGACAATCAAATTACAAACTAAAAGTTTTGCTTTTACTTTTGGATGTTACAAGCTGGAGGGAGGTGAGAGCAGGAGGGGGACAGCATGAGAGACATGGCATTTGTTTTATTTCACAGTTAGTCTTGGAAAATACTTCAATATTCCACATGGCTTTAAAATCCGGTAGCAAGGACCTTTCGAGCAGCACTTTGGTAAAGCTGGGAAATACGTTGGCATTGTTGAATGCTGGTGAGTGATTGATTCAAGTGATCTTTCAGTATCGTTATAGAATAAAGATACGGTCAGAATAGATTAACCTCTCAACCCCTTAGGTCAAGCCAGCAGTTTTATTCCTTGATGCTGATGAAGCCTTTGGAGGAAAGTCTTTGGACATTTCAAGTAGCTTAAATTTCCAGTCGTTTCTTAGAAATGGGCAAATAGGTTGTTTATTGTAAGTTATGGACTGTCTTCTGTCTAGGTTAGGTGAGAACTTTTGATAATGTAACTTTGCTTTGTTGCACTGAGAGCTTCGTGTGTTCTTTAGGCTTTCCTTTGCACAAAACCAAAGTTCCTTTCTTCATGTGACATTCTGTTGCTAAGAGTGGTATGATACAGGACACTTACCAAGAGTGAGATCTTAGTATTGAATTAGTTCAGTCCTTTTTGTCCATTTTGTTTTGTTGCTGTTTTACATTATTATAAAAAGTCATGGCTGCAAATACGTGAATCAACTTAGTCTCAACAAACCTTGTTTTAAAGGGCCTCAGGTCTTCCTTAGCCTTGGCGCTATAGAAGCAATACAGCATCATTCAAAAGTGAGTTGCCACTTCTCCAGTTGCTCATTTTTGAGGGTGTCTGCTGTCTTTCAAATTTTCTTTGCCTCCTTGAATGTTTTACAAGATCTTCCCCTTTTAGAGGGCAGCTCGCTAGTAGACCTTGTTGCCTACTCTTGGGAAACGTATGCTCAGATGCTTTTATAGACTCCTACAATTCAAAACCATTGTATTACACACACTTTGTGAGTGTGTGATCCTTAAAACTATAATACAGCTTTTAGGATGGGATTTTCAAAAGGGCTCAGTGTTGGCCGAACTCTGCTCCTGTTGGAGTCCGTGGGAGTTGGACTTTAATGCGAGACTAGTTCGGCCCGTGCTGAGCACGCATGAGAGTTGGACCCAAAAGCGATGCACTGGGTTAAAATGATACATGAATTTTTAAAAACCCTCCCATTTGGGCAATGTTGTTTCTCATTTTCCTGTGTGGAGGCCAAATCCCATTTACTTAGATGGGGCCATAATTGGGTTCTGAGAGTATTCGTGGGAAGGCTTGGATATTTGATTAGAGAGGAGATTTTGATGCAAGCAGGGCAATATGAAGAGGGTTCAACTGAATACTCTCCCTGACATGCATGTGAACCTCAAAAGGTTGTATCTATTTTGGACTGAGGAGACTTCATTTTATTTTTATTAAAAACACACACACACACACACAGGTATTTGAATTATTCTGCAGTCAAAGCTGAACTAAACTATTTTTAACAGCTGCCAAAGTCACGCAACATGATTAGTGTGTAAAACTCAATTAAATGTATTACATCTGTGGACAGACTTGTTATTTTTGGATTAGTGCCCAGTTCAGACACATGGTCAGCTTTAGCACTACTACTGCTGAATCCCTTTTTTTTTTCCTTTAAATTTTGCAATATGAGCAAAGCTGTGCTAGTGCAAACACTTAATAAATCAAACTTTCACATTCTGCAAACGTCTGAGCTTGTGTTTCTGCCGCTCGTATTGTTGCTGTAATACCTGAGTGGAATAGGAAGAGGGACCACTTGGCCTTGGCTATAGGTCTGGCAGGCACCTTTCCTGGTAATGTTGGGGATGGATGGATGCTGGTAGGCTGATGTCAACTAGCCAATTGGATCATGAGAGACACCACCAGCAATTGGATTCTACGGTGATGAAAGAGACAGACACTCTGTCATCTGAATCAGGCCCTGAGTATCTGAGATGATGCCAAATCAAAAAGTCGTTCTGTATATGGCATATTGTAAAGGTTTCATGGGAAAATTCTTGGATTTACTATTATTTAACATGTTATATCATGGAAAAGTCTAAAAGCCATAACCACTGTGCAGACATATTGTTAATGATGGTCCCAGCCACAATCCTTGGCTTGTAGTCTAAAAGAGAAGATGTAGAAGGTGGATGGGACAAGCAGATGGGCCAGGGTGGAGAAAACAGTGTAACAAATAACTAGAATATAGAATGTTTACAGGTCTTAGTCAGCCGGGTATAGTGATCACAGTATGTCAACTTCCTAGCCACTATTAGGTTGTACTTTACCATATGCTGTATGGGAAAGTTCAAACCGTCCCATCCCTCAACCCCACTGTCCAGCAGATCCTCTGTCCCCAGCCTGGGATGATCAACTAATCCTTTTTTTACTTTTAAATTGAACAGAATCTAAAATGCAACCTTATCACTAACAAAGCCGTTCATTCTTTAATTCATTTTGAGAACAGAATATTCTTCCTTGAGCTAAGCATTCCTTTCTTAAAACTTTCTGTTTGCAAATAAACAGCTGAATTGCTGTAGGTTAGAGTGCAACAGGTTAATTTTGCTTGTGGTGATACTACACATTATTTGACACCTTCCTGGCCAGCCACTCCTGCACTCCTCGTGGGGAGAGTTTCAAACAAGAGGACTTGGATTCATTGTTAATGGATTAAAAGCCATGCGAGTGTGGAGACTGAAAGTTGCTGTCAGAAGAGGTATCATAGTCTGACAATAAAGCTTTGTTGTGTGCAGACAGCAGAGAGAAACCTGCCCTCCATCCTCACTGCCTTTTCAATGGAGCACTAACAGGTGCTCTGTATGAGGCCACAGAAGGTTGGCTCTGCTCCTGTCATCTTATGGTGAGGCTAATTTGTGGTAATGAGAATCCAACTGCTAGTAATTTATTCATTTGGCTGATGATCTCTGGGGAGAGGCGGGACAATGTACTTTGAAACCTATGCCAATTTTCAGCCCCCAAATTAGCAGGTGTTAGAGCTGCCAGAAAATGCTTAGTAGAAGTTTGACTGTTTCTGACAAATTTGGTTTCTCACTGGTGTATTTCTCTCATATTTTATTTACTTTTCACAACAGACTACAGGAAATAGATGCTCATGGGTGCTGAATAAAACACTGTTGTGTGAACAACAGGATATTGGCCATAAAGCAACGTTTTAATTCTGTGGGTCATAGAATCAAAGCAGCCCTACTACGTAACATTTGGGTTCCCCCCTCCAGATTTTGCGTGTTCCCATTAGGGCTCAGTTGTCCTATCAGACACAGCTGTAAGGAAGGAGCCGTTTGAGTCAACGGGTGTAGTTCTTCCCATGGTGCCCTGACATATGGGGATTTCACAGCTGGTGCCATTCCCTGGCCCTTCCTCCCCTTCACCCTTGAGGTGTCTGGAGGGGCTGTGAGGATGGCTTGCCCTGAACAAGGTAGAGAAATGCAAGATGGAGCGATTCCCTGTTGCTGTTGTATTGTTAATAATAAGAGTGCCTAGATTCCCCACTGAGACTATATGCATATTAAGGGACACTCCCCCCCCCCCCCCCCCAATTGTGTGATCTAAACAGGCAATAAGTGGGAGGGAAAATGGAGGCACAGACAGGTGGA